AAACCCTTCTCCACTGATGGTGGGAATGTAGACTAGTACAACCACTATGGAAATTGGTGTGGAGATTCCTCAAAAACTAGGGTTAGAGGTCCCATTCACCCCAGCTATTCCCTTTCTGAGTATTTTTCCAGAAGAACTGAAAACATCACACCACACTGACATATGTGCACACTTGTTTATAGCTAGCAGTGCAATTTGTCTTACTGAAGTCTTGGAAACAATCAAATTCCCATCAACTGAGTAATGGATAAAAAAGATGCAGTATTTTTCCACAATGGAATATTACTCAACTATAAAGAAAGATAAACTCAAGGCTTTTATAGGTAAATGAATACAACTACACACCATATTCATAAGTTAAATAAATCAGACCCACATGTGTAAACATCTTATTGTCTCCCTAGTGTTAGAATCTGAAAGAGTAAATAAGATCTAAAAGATAAAATAGAAACTGTGAAAGGGAAAGAAACTGCTCAAAGGGAATGAACAACTGGGTCGAAGGAAGGAAGGAAGGAAGGAAGGAAGGAAGGAAGGAAGGAAGGAAGAAAAGAAAGAAAGAAAGAAAGAAAGAAAGAAAGAAAGAAAGAAAGAAAGAAAGAAAGAAAGAAAGAAATATATACAGGATAGCTAAGAAAATTATACTGCTGATTTCTACTGTTCTATTGAAGGGAAAAGTTAATGCTTACATTTTTTTTTATTTTTATGTTTTTTAATCAATTTTGCTTGCTTGGGGCCAGGGGGATAGCTCAGTAGAATAAGCACCTGCCTGACAAGCACAGGGTCCTGAGTTCAATTCCCAGTTCCACACACACACACACACACACACACACAACAACTGTTCAATTTTGCTTGTTTACCCTGGTAATCTGAACAACTAATTTGAAGACAACAATATGCAACATAACAACCACTGTTGAATTCCTATCATCTTATTTAGTGAAACTCTTATGTTGTTTGTAATGTGTTGTTTTTCTATTGTTGTTTTTCCCTTTAAAAAACAAAAAAGTATCATTGAGCAACTTAGTCTAAGACCCAGACCTCCAACCCAGCTCCAAGGATACTAAAATCCAAGGATATTCAAGTTTCTGATATAAAATGGTACACTGTTTTGCAAATAAACTGTGCACATCCAACTGTATCTTTCACAAACTTTAAATCACCTCTAGATTATTTATGATATCTAATAAAAGGTAAATCTATGTAAATTCAGTAGTCATTATGCTGCATTATTTAGGGAATCATGATGAGAAATCTGAACGTGTTTGGGTTTTGTTCAACATTCTCAATATGCACTTACTGTATTCTAACTATGTGTGGGTCCTGAAGCATACAGCTTTTTTAATTAGCAGGACCATGGGTGATCTCCACTGACCTTTGATCTTTCCAATTAAAAAGTTCTTTGAATTCACAATCTGATCCATGTCTGAACGAATTGTTCCTTCCAGGCCCTTTGTCAGGGATCTGCATTCTTCCTTCAAGGCACTTAATCCTTCCGAGACTTGGTGCTGAACCAGGTTGTAGGCTTCTTCCAGGAGCTGCAACGAGAGTCACACGGGAATCGTGGCTGATCATGTGTGAGTCTCTGATAGAATGAAGGGGAGGGCCCACCCCAGATTCCCATAATATAAACAAAACTGCACACACTCAAGTTTTCTTTTAAAGTTCAAGTCTGTTTGGATTAGTTCTTATGTAAGAGAGATTAAGCAGGCTTGATATAGACATTTCTCCACCCAAAGAAGGAGTTATTTAATAGGTCTAAACAATGCTCTAAAAAGCACGGGGAAGGGAATGTTCAGTAGGAGAAGCACAGCTGGAAAACAATATCAGCACTTACCCCAAACCAGGCCCTCTTCCTGTCATTTTTCTTGCCCTTCATTTTAGGGAGCAGATCTGTCTGAAGGGTTGGTAGGAGCTCCTCCATCACCAAGTTACTAAGGACCTGGACAGAGAAGAACCCCAGAGCTGATCAGCTGATGATGGCTAAGTCGAAGCACCTGACCAACTGGAGATCTCACAATGGTCATCTCTTCCCTGGGCTATCTGAACTCTGTAAATTAACAATTTTTGTATGTACACATTTGTGTGCATGTGTGCTTATGTGTGTTGGAAATTAAACTCAGGGCCTCTACCAACAAGCTACACCCTGGCCTAATTTAATCATTTAGCTCCTGGTTCTAAGGCCACAGAAATCTCAACTAAGATGAATGACCTTAGAGGGTAAACATTCTTCAACAGTCACAAAGAACAGAAACATCTACTGACATGTTTCCACTGCTGTTTCCCCAATGGAAAGAACAAATTTTTCAAATTCAATTTTTTTTCATGCTCAAACAAGGATCTATTGCATTCAGGATACAAAAGGAGATTTCACTAATAGCTAAGGGTTTTAGTAGCAAAATCACAGAGTCAGGCTTTGGATGGCTTCAGTCCTAGTCAGTATCTGCTGGAACTACCATTCTTCTTTATACCCCATCATTATCTAAATGTATTTGTTCTCATTTTCCTTATTTTGCTCTGCACACAAACTCCATCCTCTGTGGCAGTGGTAGCAAAACAACGGTACGTGTGCCACACTGGGCTGTTTATATCATTGAAAGTTGTAAAAGGTTCACCAGCACTGCTCTGTAGAACCTACAAAAAGAAGGAAGGAGCAGGGTAAAGAAGAGAAGCTGAGAACAACCTGCCTGGACCACAGCACCCTGCTGTCCAGCATGTACATTCCACCACTAGGCCAAGAGAAGTCAGAAGGGAGACGCTGTGGGAGACAAAGCCAACCTGATAGATGAGTCCCAGAGCTCTGCACGCTGTCAGTTAAACCTGCTCCTTCAAAGCCACAGCCCAGGTCTATAAAGAAAAGCTGAGGAGGAGAAGCTGCCCAACGAGGAAAATAAAATAGCTAATGCCAGGAAGGATAGGAGCAGCTGACAGACAGTGAAGATGCCAAAATGAGCCAGACAGAAAGCTGAGGGTGCTGAGGAGCCCAAGTGGAGTTGGTGCAATTGTAATGGTCAGGGGTGTCGGGTGACTGAAATCCTAATTTTTATGAAGTTTTATAAACTACAGAATTTTGTATTTTACTTTTCTTTATAGCCATGTGGTTAACACATGGAGCATTTTGTGGGAGAAAGGTCTACTTCACTACTAAACCTCCAAAGGCTGGATGGCTGTGGGAGAAAACACCTTTTCCTTCTACTTTTGAAGTAGCTGTTTTCAGTTCTAGCAGGATGGATTCCCTGAGAATGACTCACACAGCCACCTTGGCACAAACACCTCGTGGTGTGGAAAAACTAGAATTAGTTTTGGATTCTCCCCTCCCTGCACCTTCAGCATAGAATTGACTTCCTTCAGGCCAGAGACCTGTTGGATCTTGTCCACCCAAAATTGGTTACCAGCATGTCAGGAAAGCAGGACTTCCCAGTGATGTCAGTAAGATGATATTCCTCAAAAGAGCAACAGTTCCTTTCCTTGACAGTGGGTCTTCAGGGAGATAACTCTGCTGCTTTTATTTCCTAAAAGCTGAGGTTGGCTTGTGAAAAGTTGTTCCATGTGAAAGGTTAACCTTCACTCTAGGTTTTCTCTGTTTATAACATCAGATGAAGACTTCACTAGGTTCTCCAGTGGCTTTCGATTTTTGGAGTGATGAAGGGAGTTTAGACGTTACTGGATATTGTTAATTACCAATCCACGTTCTGCTGGAAATATTGTGATGGTTTATGAATACTATCTATACTAGATCTAGATATAGCTTTTATAAAGGGAAGAGAAAAGAAAAAATATTTTGGAACAATTGGACATTTGCAAGTTAAAGAGAATATTGGAATCTGTATAAACTTGTCAGGGTGTTTTTTTTTTTTAAAAAAGCCTTCCTAAATATCTTCTAAAATTTTGCTCAAAACCGAGTGTGGTGACACACACCTGTAATCCCAACATTTGGGAGGCTGAAAACAGGAGTATCACTATGAGTCCAACCTCTCTACTGCGACTCTGTAGACCCTGTACTAAATACACTAAAAAAAAGATTTATGAAAGGACAAGAGCAATATTGGGACTAGAAGCAGGAAGGAAAGTAGAGAATCACTCGAGATATCTGCTTATGAAATTTAAATAATATTTAAAATAACTGATTTCCTTCTCCCATCTCAGGAAAATTTAAATACACTTTGGGAATTAAGGAAGACTTTTCCTGAAGTCAGTAGCCAGCCTCGGGGTACTGCAACACTCATGAGCTCACTGGCCCTTGCCTTAATCAGTGCTCTTGCAGTAGGGTGAAGTACATTAGCTGGTCTGAACAGGTGGAGGTGACCATGATGTCCAACCCACTGTCTCTCTGGGTTCCTGAGAGAGATAGGTGCCCAGCTTGGTGTGGCAAGTGGGGCCCCTGTCATCTTTACTGTGGCTCTGCCTAGTGTGATGAAGATTATAAGGGAAACAGGATTTCTAATTGTCCTGATGATTGATGGAGATGTGCTTACCTTTCTCAGCCATTGTCTAGGAGCAGTCAAGAGGCTAATCACTATTTTCTAATGAAGTTAGGAGAAATGGTGTGCCAACTCCATTGAAATCTGCAGGCCCAACAACTAGATTTCGTAAGCAATTAGTACTCCATGGGCCCTACCCCGGCCAGCGGGGGCAAACACTCATTTGGAACACAATGCCCAAGACTGGCCCACATGTAGCATGAAAAGAACGGGCCAAGAAGGACACAGACTAAAGTCAGAGCCTACAAGCAATGGGCAATAGTACCTTGACTGGAAAGCATTAAACTCAAGAAACACACTCATTGTCCCAAGTGCAGAGATTGGTTTGAATTATATCATGAATGTAAACAGACTTAAAAAGATACAAATGGTATGTACAAAGGCCAAAGAAAAAGAAAGTTC